GTCTGCTCCGCTCAGATGTCAGGCCGAAGAGACCAGAATTTAATATAGATTTAAAAAAATAAACTTTAAAAAAAGATTATACATCCCAATTCTTTTGGCACAACAGATAGTTGGTTTTTCCTCTACTTTTTGATCAACTAAACTTGTAAGTACACTTAACGTATAATAGCATAGTTGGTCTCCATTATAGTTCTTACTTTTGTAAATGTTAACATTCTTTCTTATAAGTTCATCTTCCTCAAGGTCCTCAAGGAAATCTTGATATTGCCTGAAAACAAACAGAAAAGAAACATTAAGTATTTCATTTACTTGTCCCATTTCTGTACTATTGAGACAATTTTGTCAAACTGTTTTCGGGGGTAATAAAAATGATTGTTTCAGCTACAATTCTTTAATTTCAGTGTGGCTTATATAATTAAAGAAATAGTGTGCATGCATTACTTGTAATTCAATAATTAGATATTGCTTATTGCTCAACACCAATACTTGGGAGAATGAGAAGAAACAGCTGGTGTTTAAAAGGCTCGAAGATTATACTTATTCATTCACAAGGGCCCGAACAGTCCTTTAACAGACATCGACTGTTGTAATTACAGAGCACATGGACCATAAGGAACAAGTTATAATGGTAATGTTTATTAAAAATGAGTGACCTTTCATCATCTGTATCCATTCCTTCACGGTCCCTTTCTAGTTCTTTCAACTTCCAGTTCCTCCGACGCTGTCGTTTAGAACGATCATAACTCTTTTTGATTAGTATCTGTACAAGAAACATCAAAACATCTATTAAACAAAATCCTTGCTTGCCTTTAAGTCTCTAAATATCAAAAGATTTGCAACTAAAGAGCTTCAAGGGCATTTTGTATAAATATAGCCAAAATGGGAAGGAGAGATGTATGAACAAAAGACTGAATGGATTCATAAGAGAAGGATTCAATGGTCAAAGATTAAGATTAATAAAAGTGTCAGAAAACCGCCAAGTGAAGAAAACTTGTAGAATTGCAGCTTTCATTGTTACTGTTCATTTCTAGGTTTAGAAATGTTCCAGATATCCCCAAATATTTAAGAACATTCTAAAGCATCCACTGTGTGTGAAAGTTTGTCAGAATTATAGATTGCAAAATATAATCATGGATTTATTCGACAAGTTCAGTTATTCTGCTCAGAACACAAACTACATGTACAAACTAAAAAAAAAATCCTTCTATGTGCTCTTGCACCCTCAAAAATTCACAGTGCATGGATTTTTGTGAGGATAAAGGGATACTCGCTAAGGTGTTTGAGTACCGATTATTTTTTGCGATTCTCACTGGGATACGGTCGCTATTCACGTGGATTTACAATGTTTACTCCAGTGGGCATGCTAAAAACAGCTGGAATGTTTGAAGACCTGGTTTGACTGTTCGAGCAAACAGCTTGAAAAAGGATTTTGAGGAATCCAGAAGGTTAGTTTCCTTAGAAACAGTTTGTTTCAATGGCCTCAAACTCCATGTTTTGCAACTCTGAAAGTCAGATGTGTCAAGCCATCTTTCCTGAAATTAGAATGGACACACAAAACACCTACCACATCAGGGACTTGGTGAGGATTCATCTTGTTAACAAACTCATCGTTCACATTACAGTTTGCCAAATCAAACCTGAAAGTAGATATAGTCATGATAAATAGAATCATTTCAATGCTAGGGAAATTGTATAATTTTAGTTTTTGGTGAGCTGATAAACCATGGTAAACAGGAACAGCCAAAAATATGAAATACATACATTTTATTCACCAATCAGGGCTATTAAAATTTCAACAAATAAACTAGTGCCACCATACTAGATGTGAAGTGCCTCCCCCAAAAATATCAATCTTGACAGCCACCAACACCTTTCGTTTTACGACTTTATCAAGACAATTAGACTCATGCAAGCTGTCGGATAAATGGGATTCTAGGTCCACAAATCCCCACACCCTCAAAAAAAAAAAAAAACACCTTTCATTTGAAGAGTTACTGAACTACAATGTATCCCAAACCAAGATAAAGCTACTACCATTAGTATGTAGACCCAAGACTAGGTTACTATTACTTTACAGAGAAGGTAGTGGATGCATGGAATAGATTTCTAGCTGAAGTGGTAGAGGTTAACAAAGTTAGGAAGTTTAAGCATGCGTGGGATAGGCATACGGCTATCCTAGTTATAAGAAACTAATGAAAGAATTTAGAAAATTGGGCAGAGTAGATTGGCTAAAACTTAAATGGTTCTTATCGGACGTCACATTCTATGTTTCTATGAATAACATAACAAAATTAACAACAGTAATTAAAGCATACACTAATTAAAAAGATTTGAATAGCAATACTTCAATAGCAAGTGAGATTTCCAATTCTACACCTGGTCATTAGATTAAAAACAGGCTACCCCTATTCCACTGCCTGGGGACACTGAACGTTTCCCATAGAAATGCAGTGATTCAACGCATCTCTATGAAGTGCACTTAAGTTGGATGAATAAAACCCTTGATTGAACAGACCTATCTCAGGCCAAGTTTGTTTTGAGCACTTTGAAGTTTTAGTGTATGGTGTCTGGAATCTGTACATACAGAGTTTAACCCCTTGGCTGTTGGATGTGTAAATCTAACCCCAGTAGTGCCATGGGGTGCCAGACACAAATGTCAATTCTGTGCTATTCAAGGACAAAGCACTCAGCATAAGCTCTCATACAATAAATGACGACTGGTTCGGCTTTTGGCTTCTACAGAATTTGGAAGCGCGTTACCTCAGCAGCCTTGTAGCCTGGCATGGACTCTCACATACAGCTTAAAGAGTAGAGTTTGAGTGACTTAGTTTTAAAATGTTGGCATTTAAATGTACATTTTAAAGCAGATGCCATCATTAGAGTGATGCTAAACTACCAGGAAGTGACAGGACCAGTTGTCTGATTGACAGCCAGGAATGTAAAACAAGGTCAATTTATAAAAGTGCCAATTTCTATTCTATTCTATTCTACTGAAATCTGCACTTTTTGTAAAAAGAAAAAAAGGACACACCCTTCAGATGTAAAACACTTTAGCAAGCTAGCAATCACCGACAAGGTGATTTGTATGTGTTATAGCCATATTTAGGGTTAATAAGTATGTAGGGGTTTACAAAACACCGCTCATGTCTCATTAGAGATGTTTACACTTTGTCTGATATCAGCAAAGTTTATTGTATGTGTAGAAGACATATACAGGGTTAAATGTGAAGGGTTTATAAAATACCCCTTCCTGTCTTATTGGAGATTCTTGGCTGATATCAGCATATCTAATGGCTATAGTAGGACTCACCTTTTGAGGCTTGCCTTGACATGGCAGGTGAGCTTATATATTCAAATGGCCATTGGAATAAAACTAAAGAGCCTCCATTTTGTTCAAATGTACATAGGGATTTAGGCCAGCGCACAGGTAACGTTCTCATTGTTATGTCTAGCACCCCTCAAGTGAAATATATTAATTGTTAATTTATGCTGAATATTTTTCACCCTGACACCTTTTCACCTTTGAAAAACAATCTGGATATGTCCCAAAAGCAATAAATACTATTGCCTTCCTTTCTATATTTCATCTGTCTTTATCTCGTAAAATAACTATAAAAAAATGCTTAAAACATTGCACTTATTTAGATTCAAAATGGTATGTCATTATCAGTATGGCTTAGAAAATGCACAAAGGAAATTCAATGTTGAAATGATTACATGCTATTTATTTTTATTCTAACAGAATATCAGCATTTTCCCCTGAATAAGCTAAGCAATTATAATAATTTTACAATCCATACTCATCTCAGAGGTGTTGTTTACTAACTAGTGTTTTGATTAGAATGCTATCTGTTTCAAATGCTTATTGGCCTAATAAATCTGTTTCAAATATTGATGTGCTAAATCTTTACAACAGAGAAGTTAATCAATAATGAATGTAGCATAGAACATGACAGTATGTAGAGACAAAATATACATAGTGGATGATGTATTGAATTTATATCAGCTATAGAAGTGTAATACGTTGAGCTCTGTTCAACAAGAGTTTGAGTGATTTAGTTTTAAAATGTTTGCATTTAAATGTACATTTTAAAACAGATGCCATCATTAGAGTGATGCTAAATTACCAGGAAGTGACAGGACCAGTTGTCTGATTGACAGCCAGGAATGTAAAACAAGGTCAATTTATAAAAGTGCCAATTTCTATTCTATTCTATTGAAATCTGCACTTTTTGTAAAAAGAAAAAAAGGACACACCCTTCAGATGTAAAACACTCTAGCAAGCTTAAGTGCTTTAGGTATTTGGAGTGTTCATTTAATACTGATGGGACAACCATAAAAGTTCATTTTACCATAGTAGCTGAAAACCTGATGCATGTTTACTAAATATAGTTCCCTCTTAAAGGAACACTGAAGCATTAGGAATGCATATCTGTATTCCTAATGCTACATCATTCATGCATCTACTCATTTCTAGAATCCCTTCCTTTACCCCCCCCCAGCCTTGAATCAAAAAAAGTTTTAGAAAACGCAATAAATATTAAATTATTTGCTCACCTTTTTTTCCAGTGACAAGCACTCCAGCGGCTTCCTCCTAGCATGATGTCATCCTGGAGGCATGCCTCTAGGATGAGGTCCAAGCCAGTGTTCCCCATAGAGGAGCATTGGGGGCCGTAGATGCATGCTCGGCACTAGCTGCGATGCTCCAACGATTCTGCCACAGATAATCATTACGTGCAATGATTCTCTATAGAAGACCGTGATGGCAATGCACAAGTCCACGTGACCCCACAGTATGTTAGGGTATGAGAGCCAGGAAGTACAGCCCTGCTTCAAACTTCAAAACCTTCTAATTACTACAATATTTAGGTATCGGGCCACTCGTGAATGGGGAACAACTGTAGGCACTATAACAACTTCATCTAGATGCCTCTTTGTGTCAGTGGCCTAATGTATTTCAGTGTATTTGAGGCTGCATTTCTTCTCATGTGCGTTTAGATTGCGGGTCTCAAGTCTGAATTACTTGAACACGTCTTATAATGCAGTGGGTGTAAAATAAGAAACCATGTTGTCATGGTTGTTATGAAACACTTTATAAGGCAAAATTACATAAAACAAAAGTTTTAACATTCCACAAAGCCGAAAGGCAAACACCTTTCACTATTTTCATGGAAAACATTCTAGCAATTCCACCAACACTGCTTGTTAACGAGATGGTGCAAACACTGTACCTTCTGATTATCAGTGTTCAATTACTACAATACATTTAACATGCAATACAACAGATATGCTGCTGTTTTTATAATGATGCTAATGATTGTAATGGTTATGAAGATCTTATTCATAACAGCAGTAGACATAAATACGATACGCCTCTTAAAACTATTAGCTATTTATGTAAAGTAAATCATAAAATAATTACAAATACATTTAGGGACTATCTCCGTGGAGACAAATCATTAGCTTGTTTTGAACTGTAGAGTTGCCCAATATTTTTTTTTTTTTTTAGCAAACAATGCTTATTAAACGACAGTAATACCTTCAAGGTAGTGCGTTCAGGAGCTGGTTCACTTATGGATGGCTTAATTGATACAATTGAATATAATGATAGTATTGATTGTATCAATTAAGCCATCCATAAGTGAACCAGCTCCTGAACGCACTACCTTGAAGGTATTACTGTCGTTTAATAAGCATTGTTTGCTAAAAAAAAAAAAATATATTGGGCAACTCTACAGTTCAAAACGAGCTAATGATTTGTCTCCACGGAGATAGTCCCTAAATGTATTCGTAATTATTTTATGATTTACTTTACATAAATAGCTAACAGTTTTAAGAGGCGTATCGTATTTATGTCTACTGCTGTTATGAATACGATCTTCATAACCATTACAATCTAATCTCAGTGATTTGAATTCAGAAGTAAAACAGTACTGTGAATGAATTAGAAATAATATCAAAATAACCACAGTCTTGTTTTTAACAATGCAGAGTCCTACGCTAGTACTAATTTATGTATTTGTAAGCTTGTGCTCAATATATTGTTTTGAGAAACTGACTGCATTTCTGACCATGTTATTATTATAAATCTTGTTACTATTACCATCTGGTTTGAAGGATTTGTATGATGTAATTAACCAGCACTGTTTAATATGTGGATGAATTATATAGAAAATTATCATATTAAACACAGACTTTTATTCTAATAATGTAAAGTCTGATAACAGTGCTAATATTTTATGATCTCTAGCATATGTTCTTGAATGCATTTCTTGCACTATGTATTTTCCTCAAACATAAGACAATGTTACAAAAAAAGCCAATTTCAATACTCAACCTTAAGTACAAATGACATGAGACACAAAAATATAGACTTTTGAGTGCAGCCTTGATACAAACATGTTAACCACAATGGGGGATAACCAAAATCTACTGTGTTCTATTATCTGAAAATTGCTGCATGCTGGATTCTCAACAAACAATATAGAGTTATATACTCGATCATCCCCAAGCATCCTGAATAAAATGCATTATTTCTTTATAAAACAAAAGAGAAGAAGTCTAGCAATAAGCATTAGTATTTTGTAAGACAAGCATAGAAAGTACAATAGAAAATATATAATTTGACTTATCTTGGCTCCATGTAGTCTACTACTCCCTGTCTTCCTCCCTGTCTGTATATATGTATGTATATATCAAAAATTGATAGGAGGGTTAATCACTAAGGTGAGAATTCCAAGTGAATTCAAAATAAGCTTCACATGTAAAGCCTCAACAGCAGCATTTGAAGAATATCTGGCTTATAGATTTTTTTTCCAGTTTGGCTTTTTTGGTCTTTTTTTTGTGAAATTCACTTATTATTATTATTATTATTATTATTTTATTATTTATATAGCGCCAACAAATTCCGTAGCGCTGTACAATGGGTGGACTAACAGACACATAATTGAGATCAGACCACTGACGTACAGGAACAGAGGGGGTTGAGGACCCTGTTCGATGAGCTTACATGCTAATTCACTTGAAATTCCTACTGTAGCGAATAACCCTACTAATGTAGTCAGCAACCCGGTAGTCATATCAAGCACTACATATTCATAGGCAAAATTTAGGCAAACAGAGATTGTGTAAAGAAATTAAGATAACAGTAATTAAGAACACTGGAGAAGACATGAGGGATAGCTCGCTAATAATTTAGCAATAATTCCAGTAACATCTTACTCTCTTATAGAGAATGATGAACAACATGGACACAGGCCAGCGATATACGTAATGTTGGGAAATATGGTATTAATTGATAGGGAGTGCAAGCTTATGGCTTTGGTATGTACATCTGTTAACAAAAGAAATCTTAAA